CACTGAGGTGGATTCCAGAGGCAGGAGCAGAGAAGGAACTAGGGACATTTGATCCTCATACCTAATTTTCCAGTTATATAACACTGTGGTGTGACCACCTCCACCTGCAGTGGTTTTCCCAACAGAATACAAGGAGAACTCCACTGGTTCATATAGCTTTGCTGGGCCACTGGAGGGCAGGACTGCTATTACATATCAAGGATAGCATGAGAAGGAAGGTATTGCCATACACAGCAACACCCATGAAGCCTAGTCACAAAAAGGCATTATATTTGGATTTTATTTCTTCAGCAGCAAATACAAATCAATTGATTCTTATTTTCCACTTTTGCAATGTAAAATAGAACCAGAGAACCTTGTGGATTTTCCCTTTCTTTTCTTTATTTCCAAGCAGCTCTAGGTGATTCCAATTGTGCCGAAAACAAATTGAGTCACAGCTACAACACTGACAGCAGGGTTTGGGGTAAAAGCAGTTGCAAACCCAGCACTCTGTGATTTAGCCTACTGCCCATGCCAAATGCTATAGCAAAACTGGCACAGGGGAAAAGAAACCCTTTAGCTTAGCCATGAAGCAAGGCCAAGTTTGGGGCATGGGGTGGTAATTAGGACAGTTCTATAAAGAGCTGTTGATGGTGGACGGTCATGAGTGCTAGCATGTCTCTCTGAATTCTCTTCACAAGGCAACCAGGTCAACATTTCATTAATTTTGCAAACCAGTTTTGATCCAATCGAGGGATTTTTCACAGTCAATGAAACAACTTCTGCCCAATTGAAGGACATTTATAAAGGAAGCTCTGCTGTGAGTACAGGGAAGGAAAGGGATAAATGAGTCAAAGGCCAAATCCAAACTTCTCCTCAGACTTCTCCTCAGTTCTAAGTGCTGCTTATATAGGAATTTTTTCTGTTAAGCACTAGATAAACAGTTAGAGACACAGTCCAGTAAAGGAAGAGGGTGCAGAAAATTCCAACTAAGCCAATAAAACCCTTGATTTCAAATGTGTGATTTCAATTATACTAGCAGAAAAAAAATGCTTTTATCAATGTGCAAAAATATTCTACAAGAGCAGAAGAAACTATATCAAAAGAGTAAAGAAAACTATAAACGAGGAAGAGCTGGGAAAGAGCCAAAATAACACATGAAATGTGAGGAGAAGGAATAGACATTGTGGAAAATACTGATTTTTTGTTGGAACTTGCAGACCATTCTTTTTTAAATAAATAAGTAAAAAAAAAGATGCTGTAGTCACATGGTTGAAGGTTATGGTAAGCAGACAGGGCAGAGGGAATCACTAGGCAAGAGGCCTAGAGAGCTAAGATAAGGAAGGCCCGAAACTCCCACTCACAGGGCAGAAGGAATCAGGAAGAAACAGAAACTGGGGAAGTTCTGTGGAGACTGCGAGTTATATCTGAGCAATGCTGGGAAAAATACAGGCCATCCCTTCCCTTTTCTCATCAGTGCAGCTATAAAGAGGACTTCTGGGTATTCATGGATATTTCCATTAGTGGGTATTTCTGCTTTCTTCTCCACCCACGGGCGACTGAAGAAAAGACTTAAAACTGCAGATCAGGATAAGAACTGTCCTCTAGTAGAGATGAATCCCGGTGTCCCTGAGGCCAGAGACTTTATTTTAGGATTCCAAAAGAATGTGCTGAATGTGCCATTTTCCAGGTAACACGGATTTAGAGGCGTAGGGAGGAGCAGTCACCTCCTTCGCCTCCCGTCCAGCTCATTTTCAACACCGGGCTTGTTCTGCACAACAACCTTGTGGTCAGAGCACTGGCCTAGGTGCAGGTGTGTGCACGGGTGTGCACAGGTGTAGCCTACAGGCAAACTGTCCACTCGTGTGTGCATATGAGCGTAACAGCAACAACACTGGCGAGATGGCAGCCTTGTGCTGGCACAAGCAGAGCACAGATTAATCCACGCTTCTCCTTGCATTCCTCACATGTTTTCTCTAATGTTTTCTGCACCGCCACAGAATCACAGAGTAGTTGAGGTCGGAAGGGCACTAGAAAAGTCCATGATCACTGCCATGGATCTTGCCCATATGAATAAGCTGCACAACATGCAGTTTGCTGCACAGCACTCGAGTGTGACCCTGTTCTGTAACCTCAGGTTTTCGCCACCCTAACACGGGCTTTGGAGACGCTCCTGTTTGTAATGCCAGGCCCACTATGTTTAAGTTTCTCAAATAAATATGAAGTATAGTGTATTCACAAACTCAAAATCATAATCATACTTCTTCTATCTACTTCTTTTTCAGAAGTACTATTTCAGTGTGCTACAAAGCTTCCCCTTACTGCTTGCAGAAAAAAGAGAGAAAACATTTGCTGGAGGGCTAGACAGAAATAAAACAGGGAAGGCAAGAAACTCCAAGACAAAGTTTGAACTCCCGCTACTGAATGAAACAAAAATCTCTTCTTTGTGGCACTTGCACTACTCAAGCCTGCTGCCACCTTCTCATCAATGACAGATCAAGGCACTACCCGGTCCTTCAGGACTCAAGGAAGCACATCTGACTCATACCAGCACTGAATTTTTCAGGACTCAACTAAAAATGTTCAGCTCTTCTTTGACATTTAACTTTTCTCTTTGCGTGCACTGATAACAAGGGCAAAGGAACACGTGCTTTTGTCAATGTACCTAGACAGCTTTTGCGCAAGCAAATTCAGAGCACTCTTCACCCTCCTGACACGCTTAATTTTTCTCCTTTTTCACCATGATGCTTTTCGTTACTGGTACATTCTTTGACAGCAGAATCTGGAATGAAAATGTTCTGCTTCTATCCAGAGTTACCTCACATTAGCAAAAGACCTCATGATGAGGCCAATCATTCAGCAAAACTCTCAGTAATGTATGGGGCTAATCTAGCACCCCAGTTCCTGCAGAGGAGGAAGCAGCACACCAGTGATCTGTAACACTCCTTTCCAGGGCTTTGTGGAGGGAGAGGGCAGAGCTGGGGCTTTCTGCTCAGAGCTCTGATTATCTAAAGCAAAAAGATATCTAGTATCTTAACGGCTTTAGCATCTTCAAAGGGGTGATAAATCTGAAGTGTGCCCTCTAGGATGCCCTAGAAAGAAGTTCAGCAAACTGCTAAACATCTATATATACATATATTTTGAATAGCTAAAGATTACTAATTCTGATGAGATTTAATTATCTATATGTCATTGTGCTACATATTTATATGAACTCATCGTGTGTGCTTTGGAAAGGGGGTTAGGGAAATAGAAGGAACTGGACAGCATAGCACTGACATCCCACATTAATTAAGACATTTCCATGTGGAAACACTAATCAGATGAAGCTCATACGAAGCTGCAATCAGATGAAGCTGCAGCAGCTGCAGCTTGTGTAAGTGTTTCAGATGGAAAACAACTACTGACACCCAGCTACTAGAAAGTTTTAAATAATCTTTATTCATTCAAATAACAGAGGTTCCTGTAAATAGTTGACCTGAGACCATGCACATATTATAAGGGAACAGAGCAGAGTTGCTATTTTTATGCAAGCTAGAGAAGAAAGTCGTCTGTGGCTGAAAACCAAGACTGCACTGGATGTTGCGGGTTTCCTTTTTAGCTACACATTAAACCTCTAGTGCCACTTCAGTCAGACCATTCCTATGTCTTTATGCTTTTACCATATGTCTACAGTGTCGTATGAAGGTCACATTCCTGATGTTAGTCAGATAGGTGAAGCCCTCAGCATTTGCTTAGTTCTCTTGCATTTGTTACTTGTAGCTTTAGCACTGTAATTGAGCAGTGTTTGCAAACTCCCTGAGAGTGCGAGGCATAAAACATATCTGCTTGTGTGCCTTAAAAATCAGGTCCTCGGCATCCACAACTGAGAAGTTTGGGGCACTTGAGGATCAAGCCTAATAGAAGTGTCTAGAAACAACTAAGCCCACCAGGTCAGTTTTTCGGCCTGTCCATAAGCCGATGGACGACTTCTGCCTTTATTCCAACACGCACAAGGAAGATGATGAACCTGCAATGACCATCCTGTCTGCAGTCACCCCACCTGAAAGCTTGGGGCAGGAGTCAAAAAGGCTTCGAGCTGTTCGATTCCTTCCCTGCAAAAGGGCAGAACCTCCATGACCATTTAAAGTGCAAAAAATGCAGGACCTAAGTTAAAACATAAATGAATATTAATACGACTCGGAGCTCTCTACGGTGAAGGTGCTATCTCCTGTTACTTCCTTCATAAATACCAGCTTTTCCAAAACAGTGCAGACCTGCAATCCTACTTTTACATTTTAAAATTGAAATGCCATAGGAAAACACATTCTAGATAGATGGATTCAGGTCACAAGGCCTTGTGGAGCTAGAGAATCTCAACCTTATCCAAAGATTCACTTGGCCTTTTTCACACTGTGTTGTCATTTATCACATTTCTTTCTTTCTTCCTCACTGCCACTGTTGCCTTGAGAATTGGAAACCAAAAGTTAACCTGAAAAGACAGAAAGATGATGCTAAGATCATAATATTATTGAGTTACAGTCCACCAGGCACTAAAACCCACATAGCCAATATCGAAAGTTATTTTTTATAAAAACTCATGTATGTGTCTGTAGTTATCTATCTGGATTTACCATAAATATGCGTTTGAGTTTATATTTCCATTAATACTTATACATAAATGTGTATATATATATATAGGCATATAAACATTTATAATAAATGTTAGCAAACAAATATATGTTTAAGTTTATATTGCCATTAATACTTATACATAAATGTATATATATATAGGCAAATAAACATTTATAATAAATGTTAGCAAAATATTGTGTTACTTGTTGCTATTTGCAGTTGTCCTCCAACTGTGCTTTTAAAACAGAAATAAATTGTCTTCCATTTTGCTAAATAACAATTGAACGTTAGCATTAAAAGACTGCTCATGAATACCTAACATTTGCAGTCTGGATTGAAAATACACTTGTCCTGAAGGTGCTTTTCAAACATTCATGAAAATCAAGCTTCTCTTCTGGAGTACTGCATGTCTGGGGCACATTTTCTTGCCAACACATAGTCATTTGGTTGTACCCCTGTTCTGTGAAATGCACGTGTGTTGAGGGGCAGGGCCGCACGGTTACATGAGTTGATCTTACTCACAGGCAACTTGTCTCCATGCCCACTTCAGGAGAGCCCTTAACCATTCTCTGGTTGGGAAAGTTTAATAACTCATAATTGAAGTTAAATTTTTTTTAATATTTTTTCTGAGTGATTTTGTATGGTGAATGTGGCTGTTTTACCCTGAGAGAAGGAGTTTCATTTTTCCATACTGGTGACTTACCGTTCTAGCAAACGCATTCTTCTGCACAGTTTTCTGTTGCAGCTTTGCTCTTTTCTTGAGTAATTTTGCATGCAGATAACATACCCGTTTCATCTCGGTGTCAGGATAAAATGAGGTTGACACGAGTATTTTAAATTGAGTGAGGACACCAGAGAATAATCCCAAAATTATTAAGAAGAAGACAATGATTCCAAGTTGGATCCATGTTGCAGACAGATAAAGTTCTGGCTTAGGGATACAGTCATGCTTAAACAAAGAGATCTTGAAAGTGTCATTCTTTACGATAAGCTTTCTATCCCCAATGATAAAGTTGTTCTAACACACAACCGTTTATTTAATCTGGCTGTGGTAGCATCGTATATTCCCACTCCCCTGAATCTGCCCAGACCTCCTGTTGGAGTGTCCTCCTTCAGAATAAAACGGTGGAGCAGGACGTGTCATTCCCTTCATTTGTGACTCAGGTTGGACTCAGCAGTGTTTCCACACCTCCTCCTAGGCCAGTGCTCTGACCACAGGGTTATGGTGCAAAACTAAGCCAGCCCTCTAATAGGAGCCTTCTCTCAGAAGAGCTAACGTCTTGAGCCGTTCGTGGGCTGAGATGCTAACAGGCAGGAACTAAGCTAGATACGCTGCTAGGACCAGTATTTCCTCCTGGCAAGAAATGTTCTGCTCAGCATGTAGGAGCACTGAATCATCCAGCTCTCTTTTTCATCTCATCCTCTCTTGTCCACAGGATATGTGACTTTTCAACCACCTGACAGAGATCAAGCATTTATGTTAAGTGCTCATTAGATGTCAGGTGCCCCATGGCAGGTGCCGATCATATTCAACCTGTTCTCTCTTTTCTTAACATTTCCTGTTACCCCTTTTCTTAACATTATCCTGTTCCAATCTGCCTCAGTCCACTGTTACCATATAGTGAACCGATGCAAAAACACAGAAAATTTATATTAGGAATTTAGGATGAAAAACAGGTACAAAAATGGATGCAAATCTTAATGTGTCAAAAATAAATACGTTAAGTGGTTGTTGTGTCTATTCTGCTTTCAATCTCTTTCTCTGAGATCAGAAACCTCAAGGTTCGTTAGGGCAAAATTGTTAAGATTAAATTTTGCATTTTTATGTGATTAACCTTCAGTGGGTAACCGGAACCAATCTGATACTTGCCAAACTTTCTATTTGGGGAGAGCCTGTCAGCTGTCCAGAGAATTAACACTGCACATCAATCTAGCATATCTGAAGTGTGGTGGCCCTGATGAGAGAGGCAAGATTACAGGTACTGGATGCTGAGGCCAAACTTCTTTGCACTAACTTAGGTCGCACGCAGGGCAGATAATGCTGAAGGGCTGTCCTCAAGCTGAAAAGGGCAGGAACGCGTGCAGAAAGGCATAACCACGGAATGGCTGAGGTTGGAAGGACCTCTGGAGATCAGCTAGTCCAACCGCCCTAGCTCAAGCAGCAGGACATGGGTTGAGCGTACTGCTCAGGATCATGTCCAGTCAGGTTTTGGACATCTCCAAGGACAGATACTTCACAGCTTTTCTGGGCAATCTGTTCCAGTGTTTGACCATGCTCACAGTGGAAAAGATTTTCTAATGTTTAGATGGAATTTCTTGTATTTCAGTCTGTGCTCTTTCACTGAGCACCACTGAGAAGAGCCTGGCTCCATTTCCTTCACTACATTCCATAAAATATTTATGTGCATTGACAAGATCTCCCAAGCATCCTCTTCTCCAGGCTGAAGAATTTCAACTCTCTGTCTCTCCTCAAATGACAGATGCTTCCATCCCCTAATTTTGTGTTTGGCCCTTTGCTGGAAATGCTCCAGCATGTCCATATCTGTCTTGTGCTGGGAAGTCTAGTACTGGATCTAGTACTCCAGATGTGTCTCATGAGGATTGAGTAGAGTTTTTGGGTTCCTGTTGCCTTGTTTGATTTCTGTTTGTTGGGATGGGCCATTGCTGAGCTTGGAGGAGGTTATTCTTGAAAATCAACCAGTTCTCTTGGACCTTTCTCTCTTGAGAACTGTGTCTGAGTAGAGTTTTGGGGTTCCTGTTGTCTTGTTTGATGGGTTTGTTGGGATGGACCATTGTGGAGCTTGGAGGAGGTTATCCTTGAAAATCAACCAGTTCTCTTGGACCTTTCATCTCTTAAGAACTGTGTTCATTGGAATAAGGACCATTGGTCATTTCCAAGTGTGTTCAGCAGTAAGGCTTTTATGAGTTGGCTGAAATGTGGAAAGAGAAGCAGTCTGGAGGGGTAAAGCCCCATTTAGCCTGTGTGGCAATCTGCCACTGCAATGTATCTCATGCTAAATGGACTGAGGAGGTGATGACAACCTCTCCGCCTTTGCTCAGAAATTTGACCTCTCCAGGATGATTCTGACTTGCTACAGATGCACAGATCACACAGGTGCAGAATCTTTTCAGCCAGCATCTTTTTTGAAGAAGATTTGGCTAATAGTCTGTACATGGTATCCTACATCCTTTAGGTGAAAATGAGTTCAACTGATGTGACCTGGGAACTTTTGCCTTATGTCTGCCATACAAATCCTGAATTTCTCCACTATATGTTAAAAAAGAACTGATCAATAATTTAATTTTTATCATATGGAAATGGTTTATATTTTGATATATGATGCAAAAATATCATTTGAGAAATAATAGAATGTGACCGATGGTCTGATTTTTCATTTCAGCTCATTTCAGTATTAGGCTGCACTTGCCTGAGGTGCCCCATGTCTCAAGCATGCTCTGCCCTAAAGCTTCTTTCTTTCTGATGGTTCAATCCCAAAAAGATGAACTTCCCATGACACACCAGGACCAGCAGGCTGCCACAGCACTGTCTAAACTGAACCTGCAACAGTTTAAGTGTGTCATTGGAAGTATGGTCTAGCTGAGGAGATCGGCTCAGAGGGACATTATGTCACATGTAAAAGTCAGGATGGAAATCTCTCTGTCGAAGATTGTATGTCCTATTCTGTTTACTCGTGTTTTTGAGCAAAGCACTTCTTGTATTGCTCACCTTAAGAATCTTAGTCTGTACTCACTTTTGGCAAGAGGAGCTTTTGAGGGGTGGTGGAAGAGAGGAATGAGTCCTCTGTATGATCAGCTCTAAGAGGAAGTAATAGAGAATACTGAGTAAGCACTAACAGAAGAGCTCGTATCACATTGTATTAACAGTCAAGCATCCCTTTGAGATGCTTTTATCTTGAAAATATCTAAGGGATGATATTGGGGAAATGTTTTAGGTCTGCTCCTGCAAGATATCCAAGTGGACAGCTTTCCTGTGCCTGTGTAGCACCACACAGCAATGAGGCTGACATCATATGTGCATAGGGATATAACGGCTGTCCCACTTGCCACCTCCTCCAGCAGCTGCTTATGCATTTTCTGCTAAATGGTGATTTACAAATTGTGCTGTCTTAGGGGCTAGTAGTTGGAAGGCCACATTCCCAAGGGGATTTATTATTATTAGATTGTATTGTCTTTACACTCTCCCTTCCAGATTCTTTACTCTTGCAATTCAGGCTTCATCATGGTCTAGATGGAAGATGAGGAGTGGAGAGTAATTCATAAACAGGGAGCAGTAATCTCTGCGGAGAGTGCAGGAATTGTACCTCCACCCACATCCTTTGCTATGCTCAAGAGAGGGCTCCTCTTTTCCTAAACTGAGGATATGCTTGTGCTCTGCACAGAACTGAAACCTGCCTGCTCAGTAGAATCATAGATTCATAAAATCATTATGGTTAGAAAAGACCTTCAAGATCGAGTCCAGCCATAAACCTTCAACGTCCTGCCTGCTAAACCAGGTCCGAAGTGCCTCATCTACACGCTCTTGGAACACTGCCAGGGACAGGGATTCCACCACTTCGCTGAGCAGCCTGTTCCAATGCTTGACTACTCTTTCGCTGTAGAAGTTTTTCCTGAACTTCCCTGGTACAACTTGAGGCCAAAGAGACAATTGCTTCAACAGTGTCCTAATAGTTCAGAGACAGTGTTTTTGTAGAGGTATCGAGATTTTCAGTAAAGATAAGGGAAACGAACGCCCAATCATCTGCATGATTCCCCAAAAACCTTCACATGTCATGCTCTCACTGATGACCCCACAGAGAGCCTCACAGCTTGCTTCTGGCCTTCTAAATCACATAGCCAGACCCAGATATCTTCATCTTTGGGTGATACAAGATCTGAGGGAGGTGCCCGAGAGATTATTAACATATTGACCTACATTTTCTCCAGAAAATGTCTAATGTTCGGCTGCTGTGCCTGTCCAGAAATTCAGACATTTGGCTGAACAGATTAACTCAGTGTATAGCTCCTGACTAAGCATGTTTGGGGTTCACAAAGTGCACATCTTAGCAGCCAGGTTGCTTGGGGGAAGTGTAGCCAAGTGGATGTGCTCCAAGGATACTTAACACATGGGGAACGATGCAAAACACCCTATGCTTGAGTGGGAGCCAGAACAACTTTGCTGTCGGTGCTGTTGTCCCCTGTCTTTTATATAACAGTCTACTTAGTACAGTATGCTGAAACTGTGAAAAGGTTATTTCTACTGTGAGAAAAAATACTTTTAAAGGTGAAACAAACCACAACAAAACTACAAATGTACCACAGTAATAAAGCTAGCAAGAAATATATTACAAAAAAAATCAAGTCTTCCTAAAGGTGAATTAAGAATCAGATTTCTAACAAAGACAAGTTTCTTCCTGAGTGTAATACTACCTTTCCTGAAAAAAAGTCATCTTCATGTCTTTGTACTAGTTCCCTTTTGAAATATTTTCTGACAACAGTATGTTCTTTAAGTCATCTTCTCTCAACAATGAAAAAGACGCGGGAACTACTAAGAAAGCCAGAAAAATGATACAAGTAATCTCTTGCCAAGCAGTTTTTGAACACTCAGATTACACCATGATAAAGGCCATCATTTATGAAAGGAAACTATTTTGGTTGAATTTTCTGTACAGACTGAAGTTTATTTTATAGAAGGATTCAGTCATGCTGGAGAACTCTATTTTGGGCATTTCCAAATTGCAGCCAGGGCTCTGCTTTATTAGAAATGCTTGAGAAAACTGTTTAAATGCATGATCTTTTTCACTCAAGATGCTACTGATGTTCTCACCCCACAAACAAGCAGTTTTTCACCATGAGGATGGCTGGAAGCACTGGAACAAATTACCAAGCTACTACCTTGGTAGTATTCAAAACTTGACCAGACCAGGCCCTGAGCAACCCGATCTAACTTTGAATTTAGCTCTATTCTGCTCAGGAGGTTAGTCTAGATGACTTTCACAGGCCCTTTCAACCTAAATTGTTTGATAATTCTATACCAGTGCTGTTTCTACTAGAGCCTTCAGATTTTGACAATATACTGCATTTTGTGTGTGCATACAGCTATAATACAGCTTTAAATAATGAGCTCTTCATATTAGGCATCTCTTACATTCTTATTATACCTATAATATAGGTATAGTCTTATTATACTTATAAAAATACTGCTTTACAAACTTTTTTTTACTATGATATTACATGTTTAAGCTTCTGATCTTCTCCATATATATAAATGAGGTAATGAAAGTTCTTCTTCCCATATTTATTACTCTTGAGAAATATGATGACACTTTTTAGAAAGATCAGAGAATTGTCTAGTACCATCGTACACATGTATCTGATAAATGTAATGATGGTTTTTGACACAAATATGTGAATTATAATGCCATGAAACAATGGACATCTCATTGGCTGCAGGAGCAGATGCTCTTGCAGCTGCTAAAGAGGAAAGGAAATTCTTCTACACTAAACTAAACCAAGAAATATAAAGTACTGAGAAGCACTTACTTGCTGAAAGAGGATGAGCCCAATCTCTTGATCTGGCAATTCTTGGAGATGGTTATTCACAGAAATAATTAACCAATAAAGCAAGTAATCTATTGCAGCAAATAGAAACCAGATGCAAAGATGAATAATTACAGGGAGCAGAAAACGTCGCATGTTTTTTCTATCTTTCCATGTGAGAGAGAAAGATGGGATTGTCACATAATCTTTTCTTTCACTTCTGTTAAGTGGCAGAACACAGGGTTTTTGTTGCTGCCTTTGATGTTCATCAAATGCAACAAACTGTTTTGTGATATAAGTATTTTTAAACTTTGCAGTGTGAGATCCCACAAATTTTTTGATAAACAGGCCTGTACCTAAAGGAACTAGAAAAATCCCTATTATAGGCAATACTCTCTTTCCTATACAGGGCAGTACAGTCAGCATAAAAGATATCTGGTTAGCAACTTTCTGGATTTCCTGCTTTGTATTATTTAGCTCCTGTTTCAGTGTGTCATCTGAAATTGAATAAGATGGCGTGAATTCGTGACTTAGTGACACTATGTCTTTAGATAGCTCAGTGGAAAACTTGGCCATCTGGAAAATCCATTTTATTGCCTCAATGTAATGTTTTATCAAGGTAAATTGCTCAACCTCCAAATGGCAGGTTATGCTGTCTGCCAGGACCTTCAGGTTGCGGAAAACACTTTGGATGTGGCCAGCTACCACAACACCTGTACCAGCAGCAATAAGAGCATTTCTGCCTTCTCGCAGTCCGCAGGAAAGGATGAACAGGATGCTGAAACAGCGCAGGTGCTTGGAGGAACAGAGCGCAGCAGAAAACGTGATCCAGGTGAATCCAGAAATCAGTAACGGATCCAAAGGCCAGTGTGCCAGGGAGAACTTTATGCCAAGAAAGAAGAGAACACTTGAGAGGAAGCCAACTGCAGAGCAAACTGCAAAGAGCTGCATCAGGTACTTCCAGCCAGGCTTCCTTTCTGATATAAAAATCCCCCAGGCACTCTGGGCTATTGAGACAAATGTTCGCATTTTCTTCTGCTTACTGTTGGCTCAAACTAAAAAGAGAGGAAAACAAAACTTGTATTAGTTTCAGGGTCGCACTATTGACAATCCTATGATTTCAGCTGATGTAGCAACTCTTCTTCACAGTGCAAAAAATTCAGAGTGATGCTGACTGAACTTCCCCGTGTGAGACTCAAATGAACCATGGAGCTGAGAGAGAAGAGAATACTCAGAATTACTCCAATTTAGAAGGCACATCAATGTGTGTGGGGCTGGGGAGGGGAGAGCACAGGTTTACTTGGCTACTTAGTCTCGAACACTGAAGACATGAGTCTGAAATGCCTATTTTTTTCTTCAAAATACTTGTATGTTTTTACTTTTTGTACATTTTGATCTCAGAGCTTCCCTGGAGATGGCAGCTTTGTCCAGAAGAGAGAGAGAGCCTGCAAGCAGCAGGTGCCCTCATCCCATCCCCAGGGATGGGGAATACACTGTGCCCTTTTCTGTAGGTCAGGACGGGTGCCCCCAAGGCACCATTCTCTCCTGGGCTAGCACAGCTACAGATTGACCCATATACCCATTAGCCCTAATCTCTCATAATTTTGCCATTTTTCCTGTTCACCAGCATGCCTCTGCTATATACTAAAAAAGCGCTTTTGTGAGATTAAAGCAGTTGCTGTTTGATGGGAAACAGCATACACCCTGTGTTCATATCTTTCCTTCTTCTTTTACAGTATAATATTTATTATGCAATTTTTCCAAAGATACAAGACTAATTTGCATGTATACTACCTTCTGAGCATAATAAAATAAATAAGAACCTAATTAAATAAAATATACTGTTTCAATTTTGTCTTATAATAAGGAACTGTTGTCTTCACAAATACATTCTGAAAATATTACTTTGTCTTTTGTTTAGCTTGAACACAGCAGGTAGCCTGGAATTAAGCTACTATTCTCTATCCAGGCTGTATTTTAATGCCACTTGACTTTATGAATTCTGTTAGCATTCACTTTAATGTTTTCCCTTCTTCTCTTCACTGTTACGTGTAAGGTTTGTCATTACCACTTCTGCATGTGACAAGGACTGAAAGTGATAAGAGCACCTGTCTGATCAGCTGGGCCCTTCTCAGCCTCTGGCGCTCCGAGGGCTTTTTTTCCTACCCTCTCTTGTGCCTGACCCTTTGGAGTGCTGAGGCCTATCCTGAAAGATGCTTGAGTATATTCAGTACTTCATAGCTTCAGCAGGGATTAAAGGTGGGCAGCATCTTGGGCTGGGCTGAATCCATGGCACTGTCACACCGCTTGGCAAGGCTTAGGAAAATGCTTCCCTCCGGTACCTCCATGAACTTGGATGGAAATTGAGTCCATGGCAATTAGCAGTTGTTTCACAGGAGTGACAATTAACACCCGCAAAGCCTTCAGGAAGCCTTTGATACAAGTCACTAAGTATCTGGGTAAGTATTGAAGCAAAGCTGGGTAAGGCAGACTACAAGGCCTTGGCCTCCAACTTTACAATTAGCAGAGCTATCCTCTGCCTATATAAATGGTTTCCTTTCTCCTCTTCTTATCTAACCATAGCTTAAGTAGGCATCTTTTCCTCAGCAAGTTTGCTGATGACATGAAACTGGGAGGAGAAGCTGATACCCCAGAGGGCTGCGCTGCCATCCAGAGGGACATGGACAGACTGGACAACTGGGCGGTGAAAAACCTCATGAAATTCAACAAGGCCAAGTGCAAGGTCCTGCACCTGGGGAG